GTATGACAAAAGAAGATATTTTGAAGAATGTTATAACTAGACAGTTTCGGTTCCCATTGACTGCACTCCTTGGACAACAAAAGTGAATGTAACCGAAATTGTTTTGGTTAGTGACATTTTGAAGAATTAAGTGGGAACCAAATCCGTGTTCCTTTTGCCATACCACTTTATTACTAACAAGTATCTATTTCACATTCAGATTAAGTTTAATGATGATGTAATGATTGTACAATGCTGGTCGCATGTATAGCTGACGATTTAAAATATTTCAAAAGCTCAAAAGCACATTATAGAACCTTTTTTGGCATATGTTTGCATATATAGTATGTGGTTATAATAGATGGGTGTAAGCTGGTGTGGGTGGGATGGGAACATGGTCATCCTGCCCATCCCAAAATCCCCCTAAACACACACACACAGACACACAGACAGACACTCAATGTCTCTCTGGTTTCCTGTTAGTCAGCTCTCTGTGCAACCCACCCAGTGACCAAGCATTACACTAAAAACACACACAAACCCATACACAAACACACCTCTCTTTCCCAGCAGCCATGTGAATAAGATCTATAACTGTAAACTGAAAGGAGTCAGAAAGCATTCGAGCAGTCATTTGCTATTTTTGCTAAAGTAAGCTGACTCTACACAACTGTAAAACAGTCTGCAAATCAAAAATCAAAACTGGCACTATCTATTTTGTTAACGCACATTGCTAGTATTGAGGTGAACAATTAATCCTTGCAAGTTAATCCACAGAAAAAAAAATTGGTGCTTAAATAATCTGTAAATTTGCTTCCGCTCTGGAATGCCATTCCTTCTCAGATGACGCCAGTTTGATGGACTGAACAGAATATCCTTAACCTCAGCCCTCCAGCCGTTAGTGAGAGATGGAGAGGAGCTGCGCTAAAATAAACCCCCATCCTCTATTCAATGTTCCATTTCAGTTGGAAATGCATCACAATACTGAAGTCGGCAGCAACATCTGGTTCACATGGACTTTAAACAGACTCTAAACAGAATCTTAAAGTGATCAAATCATGGACAAAGGGATTTCTCCTGTTATTTTGTAATATGAGTTTTATGTATAATCTAGACATACTCCATCATTCACAATTAAAACACCTTTTCCAGCACAGTCCACCCAGATCATTTAAGAAAACCAAACTGCAAAAGCAACTCTAATCACCACCATAGGCTTATTATATGACCACAAACATTTACATATCAACACATATCTAGTATTCAGCAACTTTAATGATGAACAACAGTATAAACTATGCTGGTAAGCTTATGTTACCCCTGTGAAAAAGAAGTACACTTTAGCATATTTAATAAAATTGCATGCTTATTAAATAATATACTTAAAAATGAGTGCGAAATGAATGATTTCAGATACTTAATTGCATCTTAATTGCATTTACATGAAAATTGTTATAGTTTAAATTTATATTAAATGCCATTAAACTTCAAAGTGTTTTTTGACCTAGTTACGTAGGACTTAAGTAGGCTCTATATGTAATAATATCAAAATTCTATTGTCTTTGAAATATGGTTTAAGTGTACTGCTGAATGCACTGACCAGCACTAAAATAAATTTTAATGTAATTTCTATTGAAACCTGGGTCACACTTTACTTTCGCTTTTAACAAACCATTAACTACAACTTTTGCCTCAATAATCTCCTAATTTGCTGCTTATTAATAGTTAGTAAGGTAGTTGTTAAGTTTAGTTATTGGGTAGGATTAGGGATGTAGAATATGGTCATGCAGAATATGTGCTTCTATAAGCCCTAATAAACAGCCAATATGTTAATAATAGGAATCTGATATTTGAGCTACAGTGACCTCTCTATATCACACAACACCATGATGCTTCACTCCAACAGACAGAGGCAGTCAGACAGCACCGAACATCACTGATCTGTTCAGGAGCTTTGCATACAGACATGTATTCAATCAAATCATCATTAACACCTCAGCACAGCACAACATGACTGACAGCCAGTGAAGATCCAGCTAACAATAACCTGCACTTTTAACTCAGTTAGACGAGTGTGTGCCATTGTGCGAGTGTATCTACTGTACTCAAAAAAACTATTCAAACAACACTACCACATTTGATTGTTAAATTCAGAAATTTTGTTTTTAAACGCGCACTGCTGTAAAATCTCAATACAGAGCAGATTAGTTTCCAACACAATTAAAACCAATATAATGAAACACAGACTGACCAGTGGCATGTTTATAGAACCTGTCTATTGTGTCTTTCAAATTAAAAAATGCACACAAGCTTAACACTACACTAACTTGTTCTGCACTAATTCTCTTCACAATCTCTGTCAAATCACCACATCAAAACAGCCATAAATACTTATATATCTTTATAACAGTCAGAGAAAAAAAATACTATAAATAGATTATAACTGCAGCCAGCCAGAAACAGAAATCATGAGTTAAGACATCACCTTAGAGTTATATCAGATACAGCAGAGAACTTCTGCTGGTCCTCTCAGTTTCCCAGTGCGCTTCTCACACACACACACACACACACACACACACACACATATATATCTTTATAACAGTCAGAGAAAAAAAATACTATAAATAGATTATAACTGCAGCCAGCCAGAAACAGAAATCATGAGTTAAGACATCACCTTAGAGTTATATCAGATACAGCAGAGAACTTCTGCTGGTCCTCTCAGTTTCCCAGTGTGCTTCTCACACACACACAGACACACACACACACACACACTCAGCAGAAGGACAGTCCCTCTCAGGGGAACTCTGTATCTTGATATCTTTCCTCAGCCTTCTCCTTCCTTTCCTCTATTTTTGTTTCTTTCTCCTGTTTTCCCTGTCTTCCTCTCATTCTGGTGTAGCTCCAGGCTGCTTCGTCCTTCTCTGACCTGCTCCAGTAAAAGCTTCCCATCAGGCCCAGAATTTCTGATTGCCCACGGGCCAGAAAGAACAAAACGAGAGAATGAAAGACTAAGATAGAAATAAACTCACAGCCCTGAAGAGCAGAAGCACTGCTGCCTTTTCTACCAAAGATTGAAAAGGACAAAAAAAGCTTCTTCGTCTGTTGCGTTTTTGAAGAATAAGTGATAGAAAATTCCTGAGTGCTGGGAAGTGAGCACAACATGCCTAAAATCCCCCGACTCTCTACATAAACGATACAGAAAACATACAGTTATAGTGTCACTCTAAAGCAGTGTTTCTCAACCTTTTTGACTGCAAGGCCATCCATTATTCAAGACCTTTAAAGACATTCATCATTCGAAGCCATGTAGACTCAAATATTTTTGGAGCTGCTGTAATGATAAATCTGCCTACTTACAGAAACGAGGAGTGGCAGTATAATAAAAGACCTAAGTAAATTCATTTTAAGTACATTTAAACAGTTACATTCCATAACTACAGAAGTTTTCAGAACCAAGGGTTCTTAAGGTTCTTTATGGCCTATGGTCTTTTCCAATGGCTTGTGAGGATGGGATAAGACATCTTCATGTTTAGCTATTTTAGCTTATTTTAAGGGTGTTTTAATCCATCTTTAGCCCCCTTGGAAGTGTGCTTAGGTCTCCTAGTGGCTCCTGACTTCTGGCTCCCTATTTGAGAACCACTGAACTAGAGGATGACCTCAAAAAAATTGAGACCAGAGAACAGAACATTTCTTATTCCCTCACTGCCTCCTGCTGGCTACAGACGTAAATATATTTTTAACTTTTTTGTTTTTTGCATAAGTTGTGGCAGTCTGGGAATTAAGGGTGGACCAGTGTGGATTCAGGAGCTCGTTGGCACAGTGTACAGTTTTGTATGAAGTGAAATGTCTGACATCACAATACCATCCTATTTTCTTACTTTCTGTAACATCCACTTTCATGGATCTAATTCCAGATCGATAAAATCAAGTCTCATTCTACATTTTTTCCCCTTCAATATGAGAGTCACTCAAAAATCACATTACAAATGTAAAATAGGTTGGGCCTGTCAATTCAAATTCAATTCAATTCATTATTGTTTTTATATGGCTGCCCTTGTGTGGAAAAAAAGAAGTGCCAAATTATTTTGAAAGTGAACTTGTACTTCAAAATTTCAAAGTTTTAAAAATTGCACTTGCAGACAATAAAATATGAATGAAATAAAAGGCCACTTAAGTGTGCTTAAGGAAAGTACATTTGTTTCTTAACACACTTAAGTACACTTTTTAAAAAGTGCACTTTATAATACTGTATTACTTTAAAGTATGTCTTAAATAAATCTTTTGTCATGTTTCAAGGAAGTGCGCTTATTTTGATGTATTGACTAACATGCTAAAACTTAAAGTACTTGATTATAGTTTTAACTGTAGTGTGTTATTTGATATTACATTTAAGGTTAATATACACATACATACATATGTCCACCTGAGATTTTTTTCTTTTAAATGAGCATTTTTATCAGGCTCCTATGAAAATAACATTGGACATTTTTGAAAATAAAGCATTCAATAAGTGACTAATAGCCTTTTTTTTTTGCCATTAAAGTGAAATTACTGAACCTAAACATAGGAGCCTGACAAAAATGCTCATTTAAAAGAAAAAAATATTTTTCAGGTTTTTCTTTATATATATATATATATTTGTATATGTATTTCATTGCAACTTAATCATTACAAATGTGTAATTACAAATATATTTGACAAATACATGAAAAAGATCTATTTAATTCCTACGTAGGTGGGTCAAAAAATACTGTAAAGTTGAGCTAATAGCATTTAATATAAGTTTATGCACTTTAATATAATATAAGCACTTACTGTAAGTTTATTATTTTATTAAAGTGTATTACTTCCATAATAAGCACTCTTTTTAAAAGTATTATTTTTATAATTTATTTTACCGATATTCAAGTTTCCACTTGCCTAATTTACACAATCAATTAAACAAAACAGATACATACAACTTCAATCATGGTTGTTCATATAGGTGTCGCTGCTATACTCTCAGTAATCTGTCATACCTCCCACAGGCTCCTAAAGTCCTTCTGCTCAATCCGCAGCAGTTCACTGAACTCTCGGGTGACAATGGTGGCGTGCCGCGGCGTGTTGTCCAGAATAGACTCCCCGAAAGCTGTGCCGATGCCCAACGTACAGATGGTGACAGCATCCTTAACATGAAGAGAAACACATGTCAGAGCCAACTCTTTCAGAGAGGAAGAGATGAGAAGAGAGGAGTCATATATAAGCCATCTGAGATGTTTCTGACTGAGATACTGATGCACTTCCACTTAGATTCAGGCCTTTCTCAAGGACAACACACACAGAGAATGAGAGAGGTCAGCTCATTTGTCCCTAAGGTTTGTAATGTAAGACGCAGATCTGTTAGGAGTTGCTCTAGTTTTCTGCTGCGGTCTATAATAAGCACCTGCACTCAATAAAAAACGTCCACTGTGAGCAGCTGAATATAAGATCATATTCGTTTTCACTTGGGATGGGAATCGTAAGTCTAGTTCCAGTTCAGATTCTACCTAGCAACTAAAAAATAATTCCAGTAAAGGTTTTTTTTTTTGCTCACAACACAAGCACAGAGAACAAAAAGCAACTGCTAAAGAACAGAGAGACAAATGAGGGACATTCAGCAAACTGAACAGAATTTAGCTGACACTCAATATTTGAAACTGTAAGCTTTTGAGTGCTCCATCTCCTCTCATAATTGTCTTGTACCTAAATATAACTCCTTTTAGGTGAGATACTGTACGTCTAAGGAGACCTGTTAATGTGATGTAATAACAGTTATGTAAATGATGATTTACATAACTGTCCTTGATGAGCTACAGTGAATGTGTGAGTATGCGTATGCTCTATTATCAAGTCAAATTTATTTATATAGTGCTTTATATAGCAAGATTTATACAGCAATACACTGTTTCAAAGCAGCTTTACAAAAAAATCATGTTGCTAATATTTATAATATTTTAATATCTTCATGCATTATAGTCACATTTAGCAGATTAGAGCTATGTGATAATAAATACAGCTTACATTTTACAACAATACATGCGATCAAGCAGTTTAAAATTTGTTATATGGTACATATTGCTTTACATTAGTGTACTGTACATGTGCAGATGAAGTTGAACATACTTATATATCCAACTTTACATAAAGAGCTGTTTGATAATATAGTTTTCATTTTGCAACAATATACGATTGCAACGATAATCAATCAAGCAGTTAAGATTTTCTATATGTCACGCTGGAGCACAAAACCAGTCATAAGTAGCACAGGTTTATTTGTAGCGATAGCCAGCAATACATGGCATGGGTTTAAAATGATTGATTTTTCTTTTATGTCAAAAATCATTAGGATATTAAGTAAAGATCATGTTCCTGTCAATGCGAGCGCCACGGGTCTGCCATCCTCCATCGTTGTCATGGCTGGATCATCCCTCACCTCCGCCTCCAGCCTCCGAGGCCCGGACTCCGCCTCGGCCCGTAGACCCAGCGACTCCACCTCGGCTCCTAGCTCCCTCGCCTCCACCGTCACCCGTCGTCAGACGTTTGGACCCGTTTTGCCCCCGTAGTTCTTCCTGTGTTTCCTTATTTGGTCTTTTTCCTGTTCTTGTTTAGTTTGATTGCTTTATGATTCCATGCACCTGTGTTCCCCTGATTGCCCTATGTATATTAGCTCCTGTCTGTTCCTTAGTTCTTCGTCGGGTCTACTTGTTGGATGTCGTGTGTTTCCCGTGTTCCTGTTGTGGATTTTCCCCCTGTGATTCAAGTATTAAAGACTGTTGAATGTTTCTCCGCGTCTCCATCGTTCCTCCCACAGCGAATCGTGACAGAAGACCCGACCCAAACCGTTACCTCCGTGTGTCCACCCTCCGTTTTTGTTTCCCATTTTCTCTCAGTGTTTTTGTTTCCGTTGTGTTTTCCTTCATGGATGCCCTCCTTCACCCGGAATATCTCCTCCTCCTACTGGAGCAGGGGGAGAGATCTCTCGAGGACCATACGAGACTGTTCCGGCTGTTAGCTAGCACCACCATCTACCCGAATGACGCACTCTGCTCATTCTATGATGCATGCTTGAAAACCGCGAGCAGAGCGCCGTCGTCCTGGTTTTGTGGTCCAGGGTCACATATAGTAAATACTAAGTGAGAGTACTGTATGCATGAGAATAAATCTGGACATACTTATTGTAGTTGTTTAGATCATTATCAATTATTAATTAATTAATCAAGTTATTAATTTGTTATGTGGTTATATTGAGGATTCTGAAACATATGAAGTTAAATGATGCACATAAATGAAAAGCCTAAAATGTTAATATTATCATTTCTTTGATAGTTCAGACCCATGATAAGCTCTGTTCACTATCATTTAAAAACAGAACTGACATGACAACGTACCTGATGGTTTGCAGTTTCTGAGACTTTGACATCTAGGGAACCGGACAGGACGGTGTACCAGTTAGTGCCAATGTCACCCTGCCTGTACACTAACACACACAAACAGAGAGAAGGTAGTGCCCTACTGAAAAAATCATATCATTACACTAGACCCAGTCACGATGCAACCTTGTGTGAAGTAATTCTGTCAACAAACAATGTTTTCACATCATATGTAGGCCTATGTGTGTGAACGTGAGTGCATATGTGTGTGTGTGTTTGACTGACATGTGATGCTTTTCTCCAGACACTCGTAGAATCCACACAGACAGATCTGCTGAAGTAGTGCAGGGTGGAACTTCTCAAAGGCCTTCACACTTTTCAGACGGGCCAAGATAATGTCCACATCCTCCCCCAAACGCTCCTCCGGTCTGCATACACAGAAACACACATACAAATCAAATTACAGCAATAGCTGACTCATTATTTGCTCATTCTCATGGCTTTTGTGTGTGTGTGTGTGTGTGTGTGTGTGTGTGTGTGTGTGTGTGTGTTTTGCACTATCTACCCGAATGACGCACTCTGCTCATTCTATGATGCATGCTTGAAAACCGCGAGCAGAGCGCCGTCGTCCGAAGATGGTCCTCGAGAGGATTTCGCCGCATTTGTGGAGTGGATTCTGGCGAGAAACGGATCGCCTCTCACCGTCTCTCCCAAGGATTATCTCGCCAGATCCACTCCAGACCCAGTGCCCAGCCCACCATCTCCCCGCGGTGCGGAGCATCAGCCCGAGCCCACCGATGACAGAGAGCCCATTACCACTGCGATCAACGAGCCAGCGCAATGCCGAGCGATTGAGCAGAGGATCGCCCCGGATGTGGAACCCCACCCATCAGACCAGGTGCGAGAGCCGGCGACAGTGCCCACCGCGAGGGAGCAAGCCGTGGACGGTGAGAGCGCGGAGTGGAGCTCCGCCCACTGCACTGCGGCTGAGGGTGAGCTGATAATACATCTGGGACTGCTGGACTTAGAAGGGGACCGTATTGACTGGGAAACCCTCTCCTCTCTCCTTCGTCCCCGGTGGTCCAGTCCAGCCCTGAGGGGGCTCCCTTTTCCCAGTCCAGCCAGGAGTGGGCTCTGATCCCCGAGGGCAGCCCTGAGAGCCTGGAGGCTCACGAATTCCCACCCAACCACCCGCTCCTGTGGAGTGGAGCTCCGCCCACTGCACCGCAGCTGAGGGTGAGCTTATTGTGCATCTGGGACTGCTGGACGTTATTGACTGGGAAACAGATCTGGAGAGCAACTGGCCCCCTCTCCTCTCTCCTTTGTCCCCGCTGGTCCCGTCCAGTCCTCCTTCGTCTCCTGTTCCCACGTCCAGCCCAGAGTGGGCTCCCGTTTCCCAGTCCAGCCATGAGAGTGACTCAGTCCCCAAGTCCAGCCAGGAGTAGGCTTTGATCCTGGAGGGCAGCCCTGACAAATGCATTCTCATGGCTTTTGTGTGTGTGTGTGTGTGTGTGTGTGTGTGTGTGTGTGTGTGTGTGTTTTGCACTATGGTGAAGCTGGTCAAATCTAGTGGAGCTGGACAAATCTAGTGGTGGAACGATGGGATTTTGATGAGCAATGCTCTAGAGCGCAGGCTGAACAATGGCCAATGCAATGCAGATACTGTAAGTACTTTTTAATGCAACAGCTCTGGCCAAGCAGAATGACACCGAGATCGATCACACGTGAATGTTTAAGGTTAAGCACTGTGGAGTAATGGGATATTGACAGTATCGGCCTATTAACACCTCACACAATCACAGAGCACGTCAAGCAAAACACTGCAGCCTTAACATGTCTTGCAAACTAAAGAGGTTGACGTTTGTGTGACCGTATCTCTATAGGTTTAACTCAGAAAATGGCATGATCAGTCATGCATAGCCAGAATTTTTAATATTGGCATCAAATAAAAATCTGGCAAAAGCTTTGGAATTAGGTCTTCTACAAAGACATTCAGTGTATCAACCTTGTAAATGCAATTTTATTTCCAGTGATAAAAATCTAAAATTGCCCTTCCTTTCCTTGTTTAGTGTGCAATATGCATCCGACAGTCAGTGAACAGACTGAAACTGAAACTACATTAAATTTAAACTAACATATTAAATACAAGATTAAAGCTGAAACTGTAGACTTTATTTTTAAAAAGGTGTCTTGCACATGTCTACTTAGAGGTCAGACACACCTGTGCAAACAATATGTGTGCTTGAGGGTGTTTAACAGAGACTAAAAATCCATTTACTATGCAAACAGTTCTACATCAAAACCTAAATAACACTGTCAATGTGACCAAGATGTTTAACCCAAAGGTTTTCATCAGAACAACACAGTTTGAATACAAATTCTCTCCATAGCAAGTATTATTGCTCAAACTAAAGGGTTAATGATTTAAACAAACTCCTAGTTTCAGGGCATTTATGGAGATCCTCAATCTCAATCTTAATTCAAGACTTGCATTTTGAAATAGTACAAAACTAGAAACTACTTTCAGCTAGGGCTGCGCAATTAATCGAATATCGAATCGCAATTACAATTACGGATGCCAAAATTACATAATCGTTCAAAGCAGCAATTAATCGTTCAAAGTCCACTTATGTTATTCTGCATGCTTAAGATGCTTTTTTTTCTTTCTACATGTTATCTTGTTTCTCATTTTAGTTTTAGTATAACATTATAACACCATGCATATTTTTACCTTTTTATTTAAAGAGAAACCAATCCGATGTATAGTTGACATTTGAGACTTAATACTATAGAATAGCAATACAAGTTTTTCAGTTAGTGTTTTCAGCTTGTTTATTTTCATATAAAAATATGGCATGCAGTTGCTTCAAACAAAGGTGTCAACATCATTCATGTCATCGCAAATTAATAATCGCAATTACAATTTCAAAGGAATAATCGGCAATTGTGATTTTTGTCATAATCGTGCAGCCCTACTTTCAGCCTCGATAGGCAAATGTATGACGTTCATATAATTCAAACAGAAATCAATATGTTGAAAAAATCAAATACAGCTCCACTCAACACATCTGGACGTTGCTGTTATGCATCTATGTCTCCATCAAAACAATGTCAGGTGAAACGAGATAAAGACAGGAATGGAGAGAGATGAGTACTGGCACATTTACTTTTTTCAACAGACCTATATTGATCTACAGCGAGATGGAGCCATTCACTGGAAGAGCAGGTCGGAGCCCATTAGAGTGTGTCATAAATACATTACACACAAATCTCTGCTCTATCTTTGATAATGAGACTGTAATGTTTGTTAACTGCTTTAAAATGTTGGATATATCCTAGATGTCCTGTATCTATCATGGACAGAGTCCAGACACTCACAGTATTGCTGAGCCCATTAGAGTGTGTCATAAATACATTACACACAAATCTCCGCTCTATCTTTGATAACGAGACTGTAATGTTTGTTAACTGCTTTAAAATGTTGGATATATCCTAGATGTCCTGTATCTATCATGGACAGAGTCCAGACACTCACAGTATTGCTATTACTACAAATGAAAAGTCTAATGTGTAAAAACGTTTAATTCTTCAAGAGATTGTTCAACCAAAAATGTTCTGTCATCTGTCTGTCATCATTAACCTTCGTGTCATTCTAAATCTGATAAACTTCTCCTTTTGAGCTCCACTGAAGAAACACATGTGTAGGGGTTTGCTATGACATGAGGGTGAATGGGTTTTCATTTTGGGGTGGACTATTCCTTGTTACTAAAGCCCTTCACAGCAGAAAGTGTCTCTTCATACGTCTGCAGTAACACAAGCACTGCAGCACTGGTGACCCCTCCAGGTGACAAACAACCCTTTACAAACTACACTCAGTGCACTTCAATTCACCATCTACTGCATTCACACTCAAAGCAGCGAAAGACGTGAAGCTTGCAATGAATCCATCTATCATCTGAAATCTATCGGGCTGAGAATGAAACGCTGCATCTGAATGCATATCTACTTCAATCACACTGACAATCGCATTTGACATTTATGGCATGCAACTTACATTCTAATATTGTTTAACAAATCAAATGTGCTTGAAACGTCTTTTGCATGAGGCACTGCTGTGTAAATGATTGCTGAAGGTAGACCAGAACAACAGCATTAGGACAGACGAATGAAGTTTGTGCAGTGTATACGATGGTACCTCTTATCCAGACAGATGATCCACTCAGCAGAAGCGGACGGGTGGCTGGAGGTGTGTGCCGCGACCATCTTCGGTGAAATCATGGAGTAAAATTAGTTCGCATCGTCCGCATGCACCTGATCATGAGCAGATGTGACTTTACTGAGAGCGATCGAGTTTGAGTCAGACTCTGAGCGAAGTTGCTGCCGCCCACTGAGCTGACACAGCGCGGAAACACACCGGGGCTGGTTGTCACAAGCGCTGTAAAGTTTTGAGTCACAGGTAGGCTACGGACCATATGGTACGTACACGGTGCCTATTTTCAACACTCGTTTTATCGGAGTTTCCCAACATCATATAAATAAATGAGCACAATAAACCACAATAACTTATATTCAGACAAGAATCAACGACATTTAATAGAAACCCAAAATGTCATAGCTCATCTGAGTCGCTCCATAAGACTTTCGTTCATCTTCGAAACAGTTATATTTATTTATTTTATATTTATTAATAGATATTTGTAATGAAATCTAAGATATGTCTTCCACTTCACTCAAAGTCTACAACCAAAAAAAAAACATTTACGATTAAAAAAATAATAATAATAATTAAGACATTATAGATAGCCTACACTGTAAAAAAAAATCCGTAAAATTTACGGTAAAAAAACGGCAGCTGTGGTTGCCGGAATTTTACCGTAACAGTCTTTTACCGTTAAATTCACGGTCATTTTTTACAGTGTAATTCATAAATCAAGCTGTTTAATCCAACAGAAAAGATCGCTTTATATGACTAACAGATTTAATTCAGGCCTTTACCCTGTGAAGCCTGATATACGAAATAGTAAAAATAAAAATAATAATAATAAATTAGGGCTGTCAAACGATTTTTCGCTATTAATCGCATCCAAAATAAAATTCTGTGTATATTTATTAGGCTACTGTGTATATAAATTCACACATGCATATATAGGCTATATTTAAGAAAAAAAAAATTTACATACATAAATATACAGTACACACACACACACAGGTGTCACGACACAAGCTAGGAGACACAGAGGTAAGTGGTCAAACAAGGGTTTTTATTTACAGAGACTATGGAGTGAACCAGGTGATGACGAGAGGTGAGTGTACACAGTGACAAGGTTCAGAGGGCTGAGCTTGCAGTGACAGTCTTTTGCTTTCTTGCAGGAATCACGTGGAGCGGTGGAGTGTTGGAGCGATGGAGAAACTGGAACGTCTGAGGTAAGGAAACACACAAGTAATTAGCATGAGAGTCAGGCAGGTTCAAGGATGTGAACGGTAGACCAGACGAAGAGCATGTGTGAGGTGAGCACTAATAAAGGGGAGCTTGATGAGCTGCAGCAGGTGCGGGGAATTAGAATGCAGGTGATTGTGATCTTGTGAACGTCGGTGCTGATGACTGTGTTGACTGTGGTGACTGTGACTCTCTGACATTACCCCCTCCCCGGGGACGACCACGGCCTCTGGGTGTGGGACGATATGGGTGGTTACGATGGAATTCTTCCAGAAGTAAGGGGTCTAGGATATCGTCCTGGGCCATCCAGGATCTTTCCTCCGGTCCATATCCCTCCCAGTCCACCAGGTACTCGAGCCGGCCGCCCCGTTGCCGTGAATCCAGAATGTCATGGACCTGATAGACTGCAGCCTCTTCCAAAACCTCTGGGGGAGGAGGTGCGTCTGGTTTGGTGGATCCTGTGGTGGTAGGGGAGAAAGGTTTCAGGAGTGAGACGTGGAATGTGGGATGTATTCTGTACCTTGCCGGGAGTTGGAGCTGATACGTGACGTCATTGACCTACCTCTGTATTGGAAAGGGACCTATGTAGCGTGGACTCAGCTTTTTGCACGGCAGGCGGAGGCCGAGGTCTCGGGTCGATAGCCAGACCCGATCGCCTGGCTGGAACTGAGGGGGATCTGACCGATGGACGTCTTCGAAGAATTTGTGCCTCCGCACTGCACGCTGGAGATGGATGTGTGCTGAGTCCCATACCCTCTCGCTCTCTCGGAACCAGTAGTCCACAGCTAGAACCTCCAAGGGCTCCTCCATCCAGGGGAAGAGCGGGGGCTGGTAACAGAGTATGCATTGAAAAGGTGTAAGGCCGGTGGTGGATTTTCTGAGGTAGTTCTGGGCATACTCGGCCCAAGGGAGGAAGCGGCTCCAGCTGTGCTGATCGTTTGAGCAGTATGACCGAAGTTAGTGTCCGAGCTCTTGGATCTTTCTCTCAGTCTGGCCGTTAGTCTGAGGATAGTATCCGGAAGATAAGCTGACTGTAACCCCAAGGAGCTGAAAGAATGCCTTCCATACATGCGAGATGAACTGGGGACCCCGGTCTGAAACAATGTCCTCGGGTAGACCGTAATTTCGGAACACATGGTGAAAGATACTCTCTGCGGTCTCGAGAGCAGTGGGAAGGCCTTTGAGGGGGATCAATTTGCAGGCTTTGGAGAAACAGTCCACGACCATGAGCACACACATGTGTTGCCCTCCGAATTAGGAAGATCCGAGACGAAGTTCACCCTGATGTGAGACCAGGGTCTTTGGGGAACAGGTAGGGAAACCAGTTTGCCAGATGGAAGATGGCAAGGGGATTTCGACATGGCGCAGACTGAGCAGCTACGGATGTACCTGATGACATCCTTGGCCATACCGGGCCACCAGTACCGAGCTTGAATAAGCGAGAGGGTCCGCTGGCTGCCTGGGTGTCCAGAGCCCGGTACTTCATGAACTGAGTCCAGAAGGGTTAATTGCTGAGAGGATGGAACGTATGTCTTTCCTTCTGGGCCTCCCTGGGGAGCTGGCTCGGTGTGGATGGCGTCACGGACGCGTTCGGTGAGTTCCCATTGAATAGAGCTGACAATGAGGACCGGAGGGAGAATGGGTTCTGGATCTGACCATATCCCTCCCAGTCCACCAGGTACTCGAGCCGGCCGCCCCGTTGCCGTGAATCCAGAATGTCATGGACCTGATAGACTGCAGCCTCTTCCAAAACCTCTGGGGGAGGAGGTGCGTCTGGTTTGGTGGATCCTGTGGTGGTAGGGGAGAAAGGTTTCAGGAGTGAGACGTGGAATGTGGGATGTATTCTGTACCTTGCCGGGAGTTGGAGCTGATACGTGACGTCATTGACCTACCTCTGTATTGGAAAGGGACCTATGTAGCGTGGACTCAGCTTTTTGCACGGCAGGCGGAGGCCGAGGTCTCGGGTCGATAGCCAGACCCGATCGCCTGGCTGGAACTGAGGGGGATCTGACCGATGGACGTCTTCGAAGAATTTGTGCCTCCGCACTGCACGCTGGAGATGGATGTGTGCTGAGTCCCATACCCTCTCGCTCTCTCGGAACCAGTAGTCCACAGCTAGAACCTCCAAGGGCTCCTACAGGTAGGGAAACCAGTTTGCCAGATGGAAGATGGCAAGGGGATTTCGACATGGCGCAGACTGAGCAGCTACGGATGTACCTGATGACATCCTTGGCCATACCGGGCCACCAGTACCGAGCTTGAATAAGCGAGAGGGTCCGCTGGCTGCCTGGGTGTCCAGAGCCCGGTACTTCATGAACTGAGTCCAGAAGGGTTAATTGCTGAGAGGATGGAACGTATGTCTTTCCTTCTGGGCCTCCCTGGGGAGCTGGCTCGGTGTGGATGGCGTCACGGACGCGTTCGGTGAGTTCCCATTGAATAGAGCTGACAATGAGGACCGGAGGGAGAATGGGTTCTGGATCTGAGGGTTGATCCGGAGCGTGTAAACGGGAGAGTGCATCTGCCTTGGGGTTTTGGTTTCCGGGACGGTAGGTAATGATGAAATGGAAACTTGTGAAGAACAGGGCCCAGCGGGCTTGATGGGGGTTAACGCATTTAGCATCTGTTAAGTACTGTAGATTCTTGTGGTCGGTGATGACAGTGAATGGAGAAGAGGCTCCCTCCAGCCAGTGATGCCACTCCTCCAGAGCTAACTTGATGGCCAGCAGTTCACGGTTTCCTATGTTGTAGTTTTGCTCCGCAGGGGTCAGTTTCCGGGAGAAATATGCGCAAGGATGGAGGCGGGGAGGCTCACCATGGTACTGAGACAGCACAGTCCCAACGCCGGTGGTCGAGGCATCCACCTCGACTGCAAAGGGGACTTGAGGATCAGGGTGACGAAGGATGGGGGCCGTGCTGAACGCTTCCTTGAGATGGTGGAAGGCTTCGTGGGCATCGGGGCTCCAGGACAGAGACTTGGGCTTGCCGTGCAGCATGGAGGTGAGGGGCGCTGTGAGCCGACTGAACTGGTGAATGAATCGTCTATAGAAGTTGCTTCTAGGATTATAGAAGCAAATCCTAGGAATCGCTGCAGTTCCTTCACTGACTGTGGAAGTGGCCATTGTTGAATGCCAGTTACCTTCCCCTGGTCCATCTGGATACCTTCGGGGCTGCTGTTGTATCAGAGGAACTGTACCGTGGAGTGATGGAATTCGCATTTCTCCAACTTCAAATATAGATGGTGTTCTCTGAGCCGCTGAAGGACCTGCGTTACGTGGTGGTGATGTTCGGCCAGGTTCCGGGAGTATATAAGGATGTCGTCGATGTAGACAATCACGAGCTGATGGAGGAACTCCCTGAACACCTCGTTCATGAAGCATTGGAAGACGGACGGTAAGTTGGATAGGCCATACGGCATGACCAGGTATTCGTAGTGGCCTGAGGGTGTGATGAGTGTAAGACGGCATTCATCGCCCGGCCGGATTTGAACGAGGTTATATGCGCTCCGCAGGTCCAGCTTGGAGAATATGCGTGCTCCACGGAGTTCCTCGAGGGCGGCTGAGACCAGGGGAAGTGGATACAGCAGCTTCACCATCTGGGAGTTCAGGGCTCGGTAGTCGATGCATGGCCTCAAGCCTCCATCCTTTTTGCCCACGAAGAAGAAGCTTGAGGTGGCGGGTGATGTGGAAGGCCGGAAGAAACCTTGTTGGAGAGCCTCTTTGATGTAATCCTCCATTGCCTTGCGCTCCGGGATGGAGAAGGGGTAAACTCTACCCTTGGGGAGTTTTGCTTCAGGCAGCAGGTCGATGGCACAGTCCCATGGCGACTG